CCTCTTACCTCGAAGCTGGCACATGTGAAGAGACGCAATACCTCAGAGAAAAATTAAACTGTGATTATCACCAAAAATGAGGGTGGGATATATACCAGTGGCCAAAAAAGTGCCAAGACATTTTTGTGATCTCTGCTCTTCTAGGCCTGGGTTATCTTCAGGTAGAGATGCACACGCCCCCAGGGCAAAAGTTGACTCCTCTCAAGGGTGAACATGCAGACAAGAGCAACTTCTTTAAGGTAGGTCAAATTAGTGGTTTCTCCTTGTTGAGACACCCTGCCTCTGCTCCCTCCTTCCTCCTACCCCTAGAAAAGCATAGTCTGCATATTCTGGTATGCTCAGTCAGGGCAGGCTAGGGCCTCCAAGGGCAGGCCCACCACTTCTGAGATTCTACACAATGGCAAGTTTCACTAGTGCAAGCACACAGGGGCATCCACTAACCCAGCCACCCTCAGGGACCACTCTATCAATCTCCTTAGGATAATGCGGAGAAACAGTGCCCTACAAAAGGAAAGATTCTTGATGTTTCCAGGGACAGAGAGGAAGCAGGTAGCAATGGGAGCGGTTATGGCTTAGTCAAAGCTGGAATGCTAACCAAACACCACCAGAGGCCCAGCAGCTCACATCAGGTGAGTGGGAACCAACAGCTCCAAAAGCAATCAGGCAGGCCTGGACAGCCCTCTGCAGAGGCAAAATCATCGAGGATCTGGTCCCTTATCCCTAAAATGAATTTCAAAAGAAATATAATTGTTGCTAAAAAAATGCTTGGTTGGTTGTGCATGGTGGCTCAAGCTTGTAATTCCAGTACTTTGGGAGGCCGAGGTGGGAGGGTTGCCTGAGCCCAGGAATTCAAGACCAGCCCTGGGCAACTTGGCGAGATCTCGTCTCTATAATAAACCAAAAAAATTAACCGGGCATGGTAGCGCATGCCTGTAATTCCAGCCACTTGGAAGGCTGAGGAGGAAGGATTGCCTGAGCCCAGTAGGTCAAGGTTGTGGTGGCCGTGAGCATGCCACTGAACTCCAGCCTGGGTGACAGATTTGAGACTCCACTCAAAAAAAAAAAAAAGAAAAAAAGAAAAGAAAGGGCCAGGCACGGTGGCTCAAACCTGTAATCCCAGCATTTTGGGAGGCCGAGGTGAGAGGACTGCTTGAGCCCAGGTGTTGGAGACGAGCCTGGGCAACATGGCGAGACTTCGTCTCTACAATAAATCAAAATATTTGCCAGATGTGGTGTTGTACACCTATAGCTCCAGCTACTTGGAAGGCTGGCCAGAGCCCAGCAGGTCGAGGTTGTGGTAGCTGTGAGCATGCCACTGCATTCCAGCCTGGGCAACACAGTGAGACTCCAACAAATAAAGTAAAATGAGTTGGGAAGGGTGGCCCATGCCTGTAATTCCAGCACTTTGGGAGGCAGAGGTCAGAGGTTGCCTGAGCCCAGGAGTTAGAGTCCAGCCTGGGCAACTTGGTGAGACCTCGTCTCTACATTAAGTCAAAAAATTAGCCAGGCATGGTAGCACATGCCTGTAGTTCCAGCTACTTGGAAGGTTGAGGCAGAAGGATCGCCTGAACCCAGCAGGTCAACTCTGGGATGGCCGTGAGCATGCCACTGCACTTCAGCCTGGGTGACGGAGTGAGACTCCAACTCAAA